TGTGTGTGTGTGTGTGTGTGTGTGTGTGTGTGTGTGTGTGTGTGTGTAAATAATCATCACTACCATCTGCTTTTTGGCCTCAGTTTTGAGAAGGATGAACGGACTAACGTGTCATGTTCACCATTTCCCTGCATGTTTTTAAAAAGAGGAAGGAGGGGTAAGTGTCCATCCTGCGCAGAATGGCTGAGCTGATCCCTACCAGGAAGAAGGAGGCTGTGAAGGAGGCTGGCTCTCCTTCCATTTCCACCCCACAGGGTCCAGAGAAATCACTGGTAGGAGGATGACCAAACTGAGCCGTACAAGAGATCTGACCATCCGCTACCGCCTTTTCTCTCCTCCCTCCCTTCACATCAGGCTTCCAAGTTCCTGGAACCACTTCAGCGCATGAGGTGGCATTACCAGCCACGCGTGACTCATGCAATTCGGAAAAAGGTCATCATTTGGAAAATGGTCATCAAACTTCAGGAGGATATAAACACTACTCTATGCTGATGAGAGAGGGACACAGGGCAAAGAGGAATTTAAAAAAAAAAAAAGCAAGACCCATGAATCCTCACTAGGAGGACTTAATCTGGTAGACTACAGATACATCTAAACTCGATGTGGCCATTTTATTGGCAGACTATAAACAGTTCAACTATTGATGGCAGACCCTCAGATACCCAGAAGGCCCTTCTGGGTCCTCCTCTTCTTTGGTCGCTGAATTAGTCTCACACAAATTTAATTAAACTGTTCCTCTAATGGGATTCTAGATCAGGCTTTGATGATTGTACTATTCATTTCTTGCTCACACAGTGATGACATAATGGCTCTTTAAAAGTAGCGGAGGGGTTGGCTACTCACTCTATCTGGACACATGACTCACTGTATGGAGGTCTTGGGACAGAAACTCCCTTCCCTGATGCAGGTCAGCAGCTCCTCCAAAGTTAGGGGAGCAGCGGGGGCGGGTGACTACGGAGGCGCTGCGGAGCCAATGACTTGCTCAAAGTCACACAGGTTGTGCACTCATGTCACAAGTGAGGTCTGAGGATTTATCCCGCACAAATGACCAACAAGCACTGATGTAGCTCCTTGTGTGAAAGATGTCTCTTGCTCTAGTCCCCCCACCACCAATGCCCCTTCTAGGTAGCATTTTAAGTAGTCAGGATAAAGGAACAAGAGTAGAAAGTAAGAAGGCAAAGGAGGAGCTGGCAGTTACTTACAGAGGGTCCTATAATTGAAGGGGGCATAACAATTACTTGCAAATTATCTCATAAACTAGAGGAGCAGATGAGCCACTGGAAACTGTCCTGTAGATTAACTATGGCCACATCCTGAGACTACGTGCTGAGTGAGGGGAAGCCAACCAGGCCTTACTGAAAGGGCCCCTCGGTCCTGCCACCTGCCCATGGTATTCCAGACATATGCAGTTAAGACCAGCAGAACATCAGCAAATATTATGCTGATGAACCAACCCTAAGATGTAGCTAATAACTTTGAGATGATGTGGCTATCTTAATGAATTAACCCTAAGGTAGCCGCAGTAAAAGTTAGTCTACTCCCTACCACCCAAACCTTATAAAAATGACACCCCAAACTCCTATCCCCTGTACTCCTCCATCTGTTACTGGTCCATGCTGCCCAAGTACCCCCCAACCCTGATCCATGGTTATGTAAATGACTCTGTGCCTCTCCCTCTCCTCCTTCTCTTGCCCACGCTGCTTGTCTCCCTCTACCACTCTCCCACATTCCTAGGACACTCTATGCCTTATTAAAGGCCCAGTGTGACTGAAGTATTACTCCCCACTTGCTGCCATTGTGGTCTTTCCTGGTGAACACCCAAGGAAATAGGTGTGCCTGTTCCCATAGGGATCCCTTGCAGTCCCACTCCCTTAATCACAATTAATAATTCCATAAATTAACTGGCAATTTCACTCCTGCTTTGTGTCCGGCATTGCACAAAGGAAAATGAATTCAAGTCTTCATAGGCAAAATGGACACAAAATTTCTTACCAACAAGTATTTCTCTTGTCCATATACATAAACAGTATTAATTGCATAATAAGATTTATGGTCATCACGAATGTGCTTTTGCCTCTGAAAGTAGAACAGAAATCTTTCATTATTTACAATATGAAATCATGCCACTAAATTTCCATTAATAAAGTACAGTTTTATAAATAAAAGAGCTTTTCTTTTCTACACTATTTGCCACTTAGCAAATATGAAAACTGTGTTGGTTTTATATTGTTTAGTTATCAGCATCTGAGGGGCAAAAGACTTTTTCCACACATGCTGATGGCTCAAAATGTTCTACACAAATAAAGCAATAGTTGAAAATGAGGCAAAATCAATTACTGAGAATGCCAATTCCAGAGCCACCTTCTAGCTGAAAGGCCACAGTCTTGGGAGTCCTTTCATTAAAAAACATCTAGAAGAATGAAAGACTCAATGGGGGTGGGCACACCTCCAGCTGCTCACCACATGTGGGACCTGGGATAAGAAACCAGGAAGACAAATAACTGGGAACAATTAGGGCAGGGACAAAACTTGGTTCGGTACTTTTCAAACGGTTCGACTCTAGAAGGACTACTAACACTTTACACTATACTTTGCTCCTGATACACATGTCACTGAGTTTTATTAAATCCCCACCTACCAAATACAACAGTTTGAAAAGGATCTATAAAGACACAAACATACATCATTTTGTTAAACTTCTGAAAGCTGAAAACTCACCATTAAGTTTCTTCCAAGTAGAGCCTGAAGAACTCCACTCTTCCCACAACCTTTCATCCCAATAACATTACATCTAAACACATTTCTTTGAGTCTGCTTCTTTTGAAGATCTATCTTTTTATCTCTTGTTACTAAACAAACAAACAAAAACACACATGATTTTTCAGCCTCTATTTTGCCTTAGGGAAAACAGGAAGTTATGTGGTCACTCATCTGCTTTAAGGGATAATCTGCACTTAAGATAAAGGCCTTATAAAAACAATACTTCATAAGACAAAGAATAAGAAAACCCCACTGATCAGAATAAGAATCAAAGAAAACAACTTTAATCCTCTTCTGCCCTCTGTATTTCAAAGAAATTATCATAACATAGGAAAAAAATACTAGAGCGAAGGTGTGGGAAGAACAATGAAGACCAATTTATTTTAATTCTTTGGTATTTACAAATTACACATAATAAAAAAAAATTCATATAATCACCCGTGATGGCAGAAGCTTGAGACTCCTGTTCAGTCAATATTGAGTAGCCTAGATAGCCCAAATACTCCAGGCATCGCTGTACATCCAAATAGGTTGTAAGCCTAATGAAAGAAAAGATTGAAGAAATAGTGAGGAGCTTCAAAAGGAACATCTGTAGACACAGAGCTCTAACAGCTCAAGAATGGAATCATCCCTTCCAGACACAGAAGGGTCACATGCTTTCTCTTTCTGCTGAAGCTCTTCTTTGAACTACCTTGGTTCTGGGAGCACTGGTCTGGAGGCAGGAGACCCTAATATCTCAAAGATCCCAGCTCCACCACTTCCTAGGTAGGACCTGATTTGGGGCACTTCACACAACCTCTTTGTGTCTTAGGGATAATCAACTCTGATATTGTTGTGAAAAATAAAATGCTCAGCATAAGTTTTTTTTCTCCAGTTGTACAGCACCACAGCATATGTAAGTTACTGTTGGGAGTTAATGTTATTATCGCTCAACTCCCAACTCCTTGATAAGGAAACTCCTTTGTTAATGGTAGTCAGCCCTTCTCTGAGAGGATAAGTGACTTTTCTAGGAGCATATTGTTATGTCAGAGGAAACACTTGAACCCAGGTCTTCCTGGCTTAAAGGCCAGCTCTCTGACCATTATACATACAAATGGTTCTTCACCATTTTTTGTGAGTCATGGACCCTTTACCAGAATGGTGAAGCCTACGGCCCCCTTCTCAGAAGAATGGTTTGTTGCCCACATTCATAATAGAAGGAAATGCTAAATTTCAATCACAGGATAGTGACACTGTAGAGGTCACTTTAACCTTAGGTTAAGAACCAATACAACATACCATGTAGCCTCACTTCCAAACAGTCCTGTAAAAAAGGTGTTTTCTAGTTTGGAAAAGAGAATGAAGTAAATAGCTGTCCAATGAGCTCTTGCTGAAAATAAAATAACCCCGACCAGAAAAAGCAGGCCAAGTGGACCACAGCTATCAGAGTAATTAGATGTGAAGCTGGAAAAGACTTTAGAGCTATCCAGCCCCTCTAGCCCAAACCCCTAAAATTTTGCAGGTGAAGAAGCTGAAGAGCCAAGAGGCTAAATGACTTGCCAGGTCAGACAACCAGCAAGTGCCTGAGGCAGGATCTACAGCCAGGCCCTCCTGACTCCAAGCCAACATCTCTCCACCCTCATGTCTCTCTATGGTACCTCTATGTGGCAGAAAGAGCCTTCATGAAGTCACCACAAAGCCCACTTTCTTTCTCTGAAGAAAACATCATCCAGGGAACATATTTGTCAAGTCACACATGTATTTCCCATAGATACTTGGCAGCTGAACATTTGATCATTATTATTAACCACTCAGTGGGGTGGAGAGTGGGGCAGCTAGGTATTGCAGTGGGTGGAGTACTGAGCCTGGAGTCAGGAAGACTCACCTTCCTGAGTTCAAATCTAGCCTTAGACACTTACTAGCAGTATGACCCTGGGTAAGTCACTTAACTTCTGTTTGCCTAAATTCACTGGAGAAGGAAATGGAAAACCACTCCAGTATCTTTGCCAAGAAAACCCCAAAAAGGGTCACAAAGAATCCCAACTGAAAAATGACTAAATTGGAGTGGAGAGGAAGGAGCTCAGGATTTAAGAGTCAGAAGACCTGGGTTTGAGTGTATGGTTTATTACTACCTGTATAATTTTGGGCAAGCCTCAGTTTACCTATTCTTCCTTTTTTTGGGGGGGAGGTGGGGGGTAGAGACCTGTAATTTCACTGATGCAAGCCACTCCTTCAGAGGAAGCTCCCTATGCCAATGAACAGCAGCACCTGTTGCTTGGGAGCCACAAGAAGTTAGGGGATTTGCCTAGGATCACATAAGCAAGTCTGTGTCGGAGGCAGGCCTTGAAGCCAGGCCTTTCTCCTGACTCTGAAGCTGGCTCTTTATCTATCTACCCTTTTACTCCTCTGAAGAATAAGGAAAAGCTGGCTGGCTACGGCAGAAGATCATGGACTTAGAAACTGAAGGGACCCCAGAGGCCAATGAGTTTAACCTCCCTCTCATTTCACAGATAAGCAAATTGATCAAACTGTGAAAATTCTGTTTTATAAATAGAGGGTGTTGACAATAAAGAAATAAGCAACAATAATGCACCAATATATAAGTTAACCAAATACCCTAAAACAAGCCTCCAGAAACTTCAGTGCAGGAAAGCATGACTTTCTTGTATTACAAGAATAAAGCCTCTAGGAACATTAGAGAATGCAAGATCAGGGGCCTCTGGGCGTCCCAGGGACAACAATAAATCTACCAAAGTAACAAGAGGGCACGTGTTTCTTTTCTTTTTTTTTTAGGCAATTGGGGTTAAGTGACTTGTCCAGGGTCACACAGCTAGCAAGCGTCAAGTGTTTGGTCTGAGGCTGGATTTGAACTCAGGTCCTCCTGACTTCAGGGCAGATGCTCTATCCACTGAGCCACCTAGCTGGCCTCACGTATTTATTTTCAATAATGGAAGGCACACACAGAGTGAAAAGAGATTGGGTTTTCAAAGCCCACCTCAGACACTCTGGGCAAGCTGGTCAACCTCCGAGGCTTAGTTTCTTCATGTGTAAAATGGCAGTAACAAATCTTATATTACCTGCCTCACACAGATGTTGGGAGGATCAGATAAGACAATGTTTATAAAGTGTTCTGTAAACTCTAAGTGCTAAACACATAGCAACAATTACTACTAGTACACCTAAAACAGGATCTTTCCTTATGGCCAACATATGAAAAATCCATAAAAGGTATTGGCGTTTCTGCTTTCAAATGACACTCGCATCAGTTTAACATGGAGACACAAAGCTACCGCACAGCTCAGTTTATAAATTACTCTAAAGGAACATTTCCCAATAAAAACAGCATCATTTTCACCTCTGTATCACTCACTCCCTTTCAGGTCTCTCAAACTGGCCCTTCGGCTGCTTCTCTGCACACCCCTGCACAGGCTGGCTCCAGACCCTCCGGGCTCCCAGGCTTCCTCCAGCTCAGCTCCAGTGTCACCTCCTCCAGGAGGCCTTACCTGATCCCTCCCAGAGGCCAGTGCTTATCCTTGAAATGACCTTTCATTTACTCGGTGGACATCACGTGTACACATCATCTCCCTCAAGAGTTGGGATTGTTTCATTTTTGTCTCTTTATCCCCAAAGCCTAGCACAACACCTGGCACATAGTAAGCACTCACAGGTAGACTGAATTATCCTCTAGAGCTGATTAGGTTTAACTGATCTGATTAAATTATCCTAGGATCGTAGATTTAGAGCTGGGAGACAGCTTAGAGGTAAATATCAGTTCATTACCTGGCCCAGCATCACAGTTACTAGCCCAGTCAGCACTAAACCCTCTGCGCCCCCTAGTGGTCTCAATGTTGAAGTGAATCTTACCTGTCTTGATATTTAAGAATGAACAATTTGGTATGTATTAAGAAAGCTTGAGGCAACTGGTGAGTTGGCACACAGAGCACCAGGCCTTGAGTCAGGAAGAGTGAGTTCAAAATCTAGCCTCAGACACTCGCTAGCTGTGTGCCATGGGCGAGTCACTTAACTTCTGATTGCCTGACAGAAGGATCCATTGAAGAGGGAAATCACAAACCACTCCAGTATCCTTGCCAAACTCGAGTGAACAACAAAAACAAAAATGTATAAAGAAAGCTCACACATATCTTTTCTCAACCAAAAGTAGTTCTGACCAGATATATCTTCAATCTAAGATTTTAAATGTGTTCACATGAAAGCACTTTAAATAATATTTTAATGTTCCTGATAGTTGTCAGTCCCAAGTTAGAAAGATTTATGCATAACACATAACACCTAAAGATCCACCTTCATGTAGAAGAGGGAAAAGCATTTAACAAATTCTCCTTATTTTCCTACTTTTATGACCAATTGTGTCTTTGCTTGATCTAGTTCCACGGCATAAAAAAAAAAATCTGAAACTCTCACACCCTTGAGAACAGGCAGAAGAATCTATTGAAACTCTTCTGTCTGGTGGGCGCAGCAGGCAGTACACATCACTTACACAAGGGAGGACGTATTAGCCAGAAGGTGAATTCCAAATATCACCAGTGCAATGCTCTTGTACTTCAGAAGAACTACAAAAAGCTCCATGATATTAATCCTATGAAAGCATCACTTGAAACTACATGTCATTCTATAATCAAGACAAGTGAATTTTATACTCACGTCCACTGTGAAAGAAATCCCTGATAGGTGATCCATCCTCTTTCATTTGTACAAACTGTGTTGTTTACATCAGGCCCCCAAGGCATATAAGGGAAGACTTTGAATAAATCTTTAAGCTCATCAGGTGATAAAGCACAGTCTCTATCCTGAAAATACATAAAAATGAAGGTAGTGGTTCTCTAAGAGATTAATTCTCCAAGATAAGAGCTTCCTACTTCCATATCCAAAGTCAAATTAATGTATCTAAATTTTCCATGTACTTGAGAAAATCTTAAAAAAAATCTATTAGTTATTTTCTAATGTAATTCTAAGCTGAAAAAGTATTTTGCATTTTTATAAAACTTTAGAATATAATGAACAGGAAAATAAATTCAGTTGTTCAATGTGAAGAGTTTAATCAGTTTCTTGTCTTATGTGAATTTACCAATCACAGTTACAAAAATCAATGTAAGCCAATCATATAGCTATATTTACCATAAAACATCAAAATCAGAGTTAAAAGCTTACCAAATCATGCTTGTCAAAAATGCTTTGGAGAAATAAATATGCATGATGATTTAATTCAGTGGTGCAGTCAGGAGGTATCTTTAGTCTATAGACCAAAAAGAAAAAATAAAATAAAAACTGGTTATCTAGATGTAAATTTTAGCCAAGAAATGAATATAAAAGTATTAGAAGTAATTTTATGTAAAATATTTTAAGTTTTTCTTTTTTTCTTTTTAGGCAGTTGGGGTTAAGTGACTTGCCCAAGGTCACATAGCTAGTAAGTGTCAAGTGTTTGGTCTTAGGCCACGTTTGAACTCAGGTCTTCCTGACTTCAGGGCCAGTGCTCTATACTCTGCGCCACCTAGCTGCCTCTTAAGTTTTTTTAGCAAGCGTACTTCTCAAAGTAAGTGATCTCTGTGGTAGTGAATATCCTTAGGATCAATGATAATGGTATTCATAAGCAAACAGGAAAGTGGCACGTAAACATTTTATAAGTAAATGGCAGATCCTCTAAGGAGAATTTATAGAAAGAGAGGGATAAGAATCACACACGATGAAAACATGGAGATTTGCATCGGTGAAAGGAGCACTCACTTTGACAAAACCCCAGATACAAAATAATAAAGAAGCTTGCATGCCAGTAATGATGAAAACTCCCCCTCTAAAATACTGTGCACTTACTACACTTAACTAGTTTCTAATGTACACAAAGTCACAAGAGGTAAATGGAGGGTTTCTATATACTAATTCTGGTATGGAACAATGATGTGGATGTAAAATCTATCACTTCTAGGGGTATGGTCGCCAGACTGGCAAGACTTATTCCCAGCAAAATTGTGGGGGATAGAAATATGAACAATGCCTCGGGGGGACAGGATGCTCTTTTAGAGAAAAGTGAGCATAAAGTATATGGAAATGGGGAGAAGGCAGGATAATTAATGCAGGTTAGTAAGTTGCAGTGGCTTACAAGAGTATCCTAATAGACTAGTCTACCAGATCGGTCAAGAAAGACCTGAAAGTGGGAAGCATATTCTACAATACTCTGTCCAAATGAAAATGGGCCTACAGATGCAAAACATGTAAATGATTCCTTGGTGGAATCCAGGGAAGCCAACGGGCTGGGTTCCTAGTGACTCAGAAAGAACTTTGCTTTCTCAGTGCATCACGGAATCTAAGAAAATCTTTGATATTAAACTGGAGACATTAATATCAGAAAGTCACACAAGGAAAGACAGAGAGGCCCCAAATCTACTATCTGGGAATGAGACACATATGATTATCGTGTTAACCTCTGTCAAATTAAGTAATGAGTATCTGCTTGTAATAATCTATTTCTTAACCTTTCTTGTGTCATTGGACCCCCTCTGGCAGTCTGGTAAAGACTATGGGTCTCTTTGCAGAGTCATATTTTGCAGAAAGCACATTTTTAAACAACTGAAGGAAATGCTATATTTTAGTTAGAAGTCAGTGCAAATAAAGATGTCATTTTTTTTTCCCATCCACATTTTTACTACCTTTCTACGTATGATTTTCTACACACAACCTAGTTTTTGTCCTCTCAAATGACTGAGTGCATACATGCTTTAATGAAAAGGGCCTTGCTTAAAGGGGACCTGATTGAGAGAATAAAAGAAGAAAATGGTGGACCCAAGGGAAAAGTGTAAAAGCAGTTTTTACTACTTTACCAGCCTGAAGGTTAGTGATGGAAAAAAGTTATCAATTGGATAGAAAGGCTAAGGAAGCTTCTGTGTGGTGGATGGTCAGCATGGGGCCCATTTTTGTCACAGAAGCTTTCTAAACATCTGATCCTTTCAGTAAGAAAGTACACAGCATCTATATTACCTCAGACATTTAATATGCTTTATATTAGCCTTGAAGGTGGTGACTTTGTATACATTAGAAAATAGGGGTCTATAGACAATAAAATTTAACTTTATCTTACTAGTTGAAGAATCTTCCATACATTGCATTATTTATAAATCAAATATGTGTCCAACAACTGAAGAAATGGCTACACAACTGATGGTATACCAATGTAATGGGATATTACTGAGACATAAGGAACGATGAACATGGAGAAATCAGAGAAACAATGGAAAGCTTATATGCAGTGATAGAGAGTGAAGAAAGCAGGGCTGACAGGGGAAAAACAATCCAAAACACAACTAGAAGTAAAGCTAACATTGAGAGGCACTAAAACTTGTCAAATACAAGTAAACATTGGAATCATACTATCAAAATTAAATGATATATTCCACTTTTTGGATAAACTGTTTTTTCAGGAAATACATTTTGTGTATATGTGGTAGGGCAGTAGGTTTATCAGGGAGTGTTTCTTACATAGAAACAAACTATATCAATAAAATGTCTTTTTAAAACTTGAGAATCTTGCTTATAACAATTAGGCACACAGACATATCCTACTGTATGTCACTAACTGGTTCTGCAAAAACATGACATCAAGAAAATCTACATTACAGAAGACAGTAACATAGAAACAAAGATATCAATGAGCAAGTTGCCAAATGATGTTACAGAAGGATTTTTATGACTTTTCCAATGGACTTTGTTATAGTATTTGTGTGCACCTATGCAATACATGCCCAATGTTATGGAATATTAACTGGTAAAACGCTGGGTGAGCTGAGCATCTCTACCAAGGTGAGCTTTCCCCTTGCAGACAGTGGGAACCTCCACGTGAAGCGCCTGAGAATCCTCATAAGGATGATTCTCACAAGGGGAAGCTGTCCCTGACCATCGTGATCTACCTTCTTGTGTTTCTAGAGCTCAAGCCTGAGAAGGGAAATAACCTGGATCCCTTTCTGGAGCCCTAACCTGGGAAGAAGAGGAGGGAAAAGTCATACCCTTCTTTGGGAAAGTGAGGAAGCTTATTGGCTAAGACTCATACTAGTATGCTACATATAACTTAGGGAGGTACACGGGAAAAGAACACTTATCAACTCCTATTTCTAATCTTACCCAAGACAAATTTGTTCACCATATTCAAAAGAATTCCATTAATGTGGTAGCCATATCTGAACAAAGAAGTATAATCTCCTCAAAAACTTATATATGCACAGGGAAAATAATGTTCTATGCACACCACGTCCATCCCCCGCAAAAAAATTCCCTACTCAGATCATTAGGGAGATCTGTGATCTCACCAAATGTGGGTACTCCCTCTATTGGTAGAGATCAAAATCCACTTGTACCAGGGGCAGCTAGGTGGCGCAGTGGATATAGCACTGGCCCTGAAATCAGGAGGACCTGAGTTCAAATCTGGTCTCAGACCAGACATTTGACACTTATTAGCTGTGTGAACCTGGGCAAGCACTTAATGACCCCCACCCTGAAAAAATCCACTTGTACCTTGCTCTGTGTGGTTCTCATTTAACATATTTCCATAAATCCTCTATAGAAAATCCATCCTCTAGTTCTTTTATTATCTCAAGGACAAAACAAATTCTTAAGAACATCCATGTAGTACTCAGACTATCTACCTACTGACCGTCTTTCCTGATCAGTGACTTCATTCCTCCACCCTCACTCCTAGCCCACCCTTGCCTTCCTGCCCACACCCTTCCTTCTATGGTCATCTGCATGTCCTTGAGGATATTTTTATGCCATTGTGTTAGCCGTGGCAATCCATGAAGAACAAGAAATTTAAGCCAAGTGTTTAGCTGCTGAGTTTGTTAGCAGATAGAAAATGAAACAATTTCATGATGGGCTCTGCAGGTAACAGTTGACAATTATGCTTAAAGGAAGTTTTAAAAAAATCTTTGAAGAATGAATTAAAGCAGGAATCTAGAGATACATACAAAGGGAATAAATATTCAGGTGTAAGCTCCAGATCATCATCGTAACCAAATCTACGAAGCACTGTCCAAGTAGTTTCATGTCTCCCTCTCTGGATAAAAAGTGTATGTAGAAAAAGGAAACCTGAAATAAAGCAAATTGGTATGTAAACCTTCTGGGTAAAAGGTTTCCAAATGTCATTATATGCCATTGTTACTAAATGATTACCTAACTGTGGTGCTGTGCTATCTAGTGAAACAAGACTGGTTCAAAACGTGGCCAACTTTCCTCGAGAATCAACCATTTAAGACTCTTAGACAGATGAGACAGAAGCAGCCAAATGGAAGGCTGGATAAAAAAGAGCTAATCATCCAATAGCCATGCCTATAACCAAATAAGACTTTTCAAAAACAAAATTATTTTCCAAACTGTACTTGTAGTCCAAATAAAGTTCAGGCTGGAGTTTTAAAAGGCACCTGATTTTAGAATATTTACTTCATGCATATACTCTATTCTAAAAGGGAAAACAATGGATGAAAAGACCCAAAACTGAATCAGAGAGGACAAATCTAAACTGAATTCCAGAATCCATGACATTCACAAGAGTGATAGGAAAGGGGAAGAAAATGGTTTCATGCATCTTTTTCTCTCATCTTTCTATAATGGAAAATTCTGGGTTTCACTTTTAGGTGCCTCATTTTTACTGCATCTCTCTAATGTATGCTGCTCTGAAATATGGGGAACATTCTGTACTTGGTAAATATGACTAGCAATCACAAAGTCTTCACTAAAAATAATTTCCATTTAAGACCGCTTCTGAAGGAAGCTCTTGGAACAAGACCACATTGGTCTTTCTTTGGTCTTTCTCAGGTGGATCTGAGCAGCCCTGAGAAGCTGTGCCATGATCAGACAACTACCTGACACAACATATGAACATTGGGGGTGGATGTGACATGTAAATATCTGCACCAAAGGGGACTGCACCGAACAGATTTTGTCAGTGCTTCTGCCATGAGGCTAGCTGTTATCAGATGGCCTAATCTTTCCTAGTGTTACCTGGCAGACTTCTAATCCTTCTCACCAAGACACCACTCCTTACACCCACCCAACAGGCTTGGCTTTGTAGGAACTTTGGCTGCCAGAAACAGATTTCAAATGTTTTAATAAATACTGACATCACTAAGAGTTACAAAAGGAATGCTACAGGGATCTTTTGCTTCTATCAAATTTAGCAAATATTAAGCTCAGGAGAAAAAAAAACACCCACCCACCTTTTAGGGTCAGTCCACTGTCAGCCACTCCATCACTTAGATTTTTCCTGACTACGTTCTTAACATCTTCCAGTGCTTGAGGAGCTAATGGAGTGTTAAAACAAATTCTCTAACAAACAACATAAAATAATGAAAAGCAATCAGCATGAAATCAGACAATAACCATTCAATATTAATCTACAAAGCAATCTCAAATCAACACAGAAATGTTACAATCAGAGCAAGCAAACTAAAAAATTAGGGTGGCCCAGTGACCCAGAGGAGCCAGGGATTTTCAGTGACCCAGGACTGTATCATTTCGGCACTCACTCACACCAGCACCAGCTCAGGAAGGCAAATGTTCCAAGCCACAACAGGCACAAAGGCGCCACATGTCTCAAAGAGAAGTGAAGGGAGAGAAGGGGGTTAAGGAAACCAAACAGAAAAGGATCCCTGGCCAAGGTCTCATGAATGCAGCACCCAAGAGGAAAGAAACTCCACCTCGAGCCACCACGGCCTTCTACAAACCCAAGGCTTCTTTGTGTGGCTCTATGTGTGAACCCTGAAGAATCATTCAGAGACCTAGGTTTCACCCCACCTCAATCCCTTCACTGTACACAAGGTCATGACACTTCTCCTCCAACTGAGGCTTAAGTAAAAGGCACCCTATGGGGGAAGGCTGAGATAGTTCTGTGTTAGAGAAGCCTCTCTCCCATGGAACAGAAACTTACACCTGTGGTGTACATCAGTGCAATCAAATGCTAGGAAGTGTTTAATTTACCAAAGAAGAGACAGAGCCCTCTGAGAACTAAACATACAGGCCGCTCTCTACCTGAAAGAAGTTGAGCTCAGCATCATTGAGTGTGCCATCATTGTCCTGGTCAGATATCTTGAAGATCCGTGTCAGAGCTTTTATACAAGCCGGTTTCATCTACAAAGGAAAACAGAAAAATGAGGGTTGTTTTTTACCTGTCAGTTTATGATGGAGGTTTCCCAATTGATTTTCTTTTTTTAAAAAATATTTCTTTAATATTTTATTTTTTCCTCAATTACATGTAAAAACAACTTTTAAAATTCATTTTTTAAAATTTTGAGTTCCAAATTCTCTCCTCCCCTCTCCTGCCCTTTATTGCAAAGGCAAGCCCTTTGATATAGGTTATACATGGGCAGTCATGTAAAACATACTTCTATATTAGTCATCCAAATGATTTTCTTGACTACATGGGTACTCTCTCTGCCATTTCAGATATTCATTTATTTTTCATATTATTACCCCATCAAAGTAAAACATAACACCAAATGAAACCAACAAGTGACAAGTTAATACTCATTAGACATTGGGATGCCACTGATCTTTTTGTCTGAGTCAACATTTGGAAGAGGAGCCTCTTTATTTTTCCCTTCTGGCCCCCACTGTTTAAACTACCCAGGATTCAAGGGCATGAAAGGGAAAATCTCTGGCTTCTCTGGGGAATATGAATTCTCTACACTTCTTACACATTATTTGGGGGCTTTCTTTAATAAGCTTATGAAAAGTCTGACTGTTAGACCTACAGACCAAAGAAAAAGGTTTTATGTAATCATCAGTTCTGATAATAAAAACTCAGTTCTAATGATAAAGCCTGTAGGAAAAAAATATGCCTACTCAAAAGTTGTTGGTAAAACCTTCTTGCCCAAGTGTGAACCACTTCTACGGTCATTGTTAGCTACGCTGAGGTAAGAACTGATTGTTTTTCATGATTCTGTAACATTCTCTAAAAGCTTTAAAAGGCATTTCTGTAATTTTCATGTGCGTAAATCTGAAACAGTGAAAAGGATGAAAAAACGAAGGAGAAGAAGAAAAAAAGGGAAGTGTACCAAACCTGAAGTCAGTGGACCAGAATGCAAATCCTGTCTCTGCTATTTACTATCTATTTGACTCTGAGAAAGTCATTCATCTCCCCAGTACTAGGCACAATTCCTGGCATACGGTTAAGACCTAATAAATGCTGGTTGACTGGTTGTCTAGGCCTCAGTTTCTTCATCTGTAAAATAAGGAGGTTTAACTAGATGATTTCAAAGGTCCCTTTCAGGTCTAAATTTGTTGATACTGAAAAGACACAGAAGAGCTAGTATCATTATGGGATAGAAAGAGAGCTGACGGTGGAATCAATAAGATCTGGGTTCATGTTCTGCCACTCACATTTTTTCTTTCGACCACTCACATTTTTAACTAGCTTTCTGATTGGGAAGAACATCATAAGATTAAGTCACAGATAAACCACCATGTGCTTCAGTGGAAGGAGTTTCCATTCAGGAACTCCTAGGCCAATGAAATCACAGGACCAGCAGTCTTAAAGAAACACCTATAGATTTCTCTTTTATTTATATATCTATATATCTATACAGATATATATATATATATCTAATTAAATTTAGATCCAAGAATAAAATGTATGTATGTATGTATGTATGTATGTATGTATGTATGTACGTAACAAAGAACTTTGAGAAACATTTTTTAGGGAACAGAGTGGGGCGAAGGAAGAGTATGATGAAGGGGTGATCTATTTGGACCCAGGATACAGGATGAGCAAAGTGAAAGAAAGGAATCAGATGGTAGCCTTGGGGGGGTCCCTCTGCTAAGGTGGCTATCCTCAGAGAGAATGTGGGGGAGTTGAGGATGTTTCTAAATGGATCACTTGAGCAAAGTTTTGATCTTGCTAACCTATTAGGTAACTGGAATAAAAAAGAGGCTCCAGAAAGAGGGGAGGAAGAATTCTAAACACAGGATGCCTCTTAAAAAAAATAGTGGTCTCCAGAGGAAAGTTCAATGAACTAGGAAAGGGGATTTGAGAATAAGAAAAGAAAAAAAAACACAAGAAAAGACTCTGTTGATAGAATCTACAACAATTTCCTTTTGTGAGTTGACACTTGGGCACAACAAAACACAAGCACAATCTGTTAAAACAGTGCTTCAAGAATATATAAGACAGATAAGAAATAATAAGACACTGGTTCTATCACAGTAATCTTCACATTCAGAAACAATATGAAGACAAGCATAAGATTGTCTGTCTCGTTGTTCCTTTACAGTCTACGTGATAGCATAAGTCTACGTTCAAAGTGTTCAAGAGTGCTCCTGGCGTTTCTCAAAAATCTCATTTGCTACAATAAGACACACAGCTGTGCCTAAAATCAGTCTTTCATTCTGTGCATGTGGTGTCTTCCCCCATAGTAAAATGCTATTAAAAGATATTGCCAAATATGGAAAAAATAATTAATTACATATTTCTCAGTAAAAGTTAAAAAAAAATCAGTGACTGCTCCCAACCCATTAACTAAATGTGATATGTAAATACTAGCTTCCTCTTTTAATATACTGTAATTGAACCTTCTAAAAATATTGACTTGAAGGCATTTTAGGAATATAGGACTTAGAGAAATCAAGAAACAGAGCTCATAGTCCAAATCATTCATCTTAGAAAAGATGAAACTGTGGTCTCGGAGATGTTGTATCAAGCCCACTGACCACCCTCCTCGGTGCAGCAGAGACAAGACGTAAGTATGTGTCCTCTGACTCCAAATCCAGCTTTCTTTCCAGGATGCAATGACTAATAACTTAAATTAGTCAGATTTTCACTAACTTGAACATTTCTCTCTAGCAAAAAAGTTCACGTTTTAAGTGATAAAAAGGGTTCCATTTGTTATATTTCGCCTAGAAATGCTCATAGATCTGAATTTTCAATTATGAATATAGCCTTTTGGATGACTGTGATGAAATAACTTTTAATCTCCTTTTTAAAAACCTTAAGTTCTGTCTAAAATATCCAGTAAAAGTCTGGACTTTTAAATGGAAGTTTTGTGGGGGAAAAAAAAAAGCAGTCTCTAAATATTTCAGGTTGTTGGAGAGTTAGCTGTAACAGGATGTTTAGGTTACATCTTGCGAGAAGCTCCTGAAAACATCAAAGGCTTTATTTACTACTTTTTTACAAGAGAAGAAGCTACTTAAAAGGGCACAGAGAAGAGTCACTAAAAAGAGACACTGATGGACTAAGGAAGAAAGAATCAACAAAACATAAAATCAATTTTAAGAATAATTAAAAAGAGAGCAAACAGCTGGCAAATAAAAGATCAAAGTAGATATTTCACATCACTATTAATGGAGAAAGAACTCAAAAAGGGCTATCTGTACTATCTCTTCTTTGGGAATCTTTCTTTTCAAAGAAAAAGGACTGGCAAAGAAACTAGAAAGGCAGACTGAGGCCAGCCAAAGAAGTAGATCAGTGTGGTGCATGAGGCAGAGAAAAGTTGCCAATGCTCATCCTTTGTTTGAAGAGGGCCAATGTCACCACGGGGTGATGTCTTCACTCATACATGAACTGGATTCAAGCAGGCAGAATTACGCAGTCATCAGCTTCACTCTCTCCTCCAGAGTCTTTGAAATCCAGTGGCAGAACAAAAGTCAAGACAACTGGCATAGCCTGGGATGCTGTGGCTGACCTTGGCATCTCTGATGTCTGACCAAGCTCTAAAGTCTCCAAAGCATTTGCTTCAGCCGCCTTCATGGGTGCTGAAACAAATTGTTCTTATCTGCCCACTGCCCTGGGGAAGTCTTCACATGCTTGGGGCAGACAGCCCGTTAACTCACTGACAGGTTTGAGGCCCACTGGTTACCCTCAACCAGGTCTAGCCTGTCTGTCAAGACACTTAATTGGGGTGTAGCCTCTTCGCATGCTACAGCTTCTTAGAGCCACAGGTAAGAATCAAGTGACAGGTGGACACCAAAGGTGGATGAGCAGCCCTCACACCAGTCCTCCTAAAAACCCCATATACCCCAAGGCAGAGAAAAGGAAGGAGTCACCAGAAGGGCCAATACAAAAGCTTAAGCTACATTCAATATTTTTACTGTAGTTCTTGGTAATACTGATTAATACTAGGTTGCTTAAGAGTAATATTTTTCATTTTAAATGAAAAACAAAAAAAGAAAATGAACAGAAAAGTCCTTCTAAGTTATCCACACCTAAAGCTTTCTGGCCTGATCACTAGTGTATATATGCCTGGCAACCAAACACCTCCAAAACTCAGTGGATGGACAAGAACCCACACTGCAGGTGTGGTTCTTCTGAGGATCTAACACTTCTTGAGGGTGAAACTAAAAACTGGATCTTGGAAATAATAAAATGTGACAAAGGGACCCTTAAACAGCACACAGGTCTCAGCAACATGATCGAATCTACATTAAACCAAATAAACCAAGCAAATGGTATTTAAAAATCACTTGTGTTTTTAGTTATAAACTATAAGGGAGCATCGAATTCTATTATGTTTTAAACAAGTCAAATCCTACTCAAAATGGATGAAGTCAATTAGTTTACAGCCTGGAAATTCTGTTTCATCAAAATAAGACCACCAACTAAGACTGGTATTTTATTTGTTGTATGATATTTTTATTCTAAAGGTACTTATGCAAAAAATATTTGAACTAGTTTAAGTACTTAAGCTATCTAAGCTTAAGTTTCTGGAAAATTCAGCCATTAAATAAAACTTTAACAGCATTTCAGAACTTTAACTTTTAAATTCCAGAAAAAACTTCTTCAAGACCACAGTAAAAATTACCACCTGTACTTTCCCCCCACTTCCACAAAAAGATATAGAAAAATTAAAGTACCTCTTTTTCTTCTGGACAGTACAGGGGCCCTGTAGGATGTAGAACAGCTTTCTGTGCATAATAAAATAGCTCTGATATGTTCTTCAAGTTTTTTGCTGAACACTAAAAGACAGTTTAAATGTTTATACTTCAATAAATATGATTAATAAGTTAAACCAGTATGTGGTAACAGAAAGCAGTTTCCTTGGAGAAAACATTTATTTTGTAAATATTCAAAGACAAAAATCAGAAAGGTGAAACAGAGCTCAGAACCCAGTGGCAAGGCCCTCACTCTTCCCAAATGACTTTGTTGCCAATCTTTACGTCCAGCCCCACCAAACAGCTGGGCACTACTGAGACCATGCTGACTCAATAGGGCAGCACATATGCATGCACACCTACCTACCTCCACACAGGTCTCTATTTCTGTGTACTGGTTCATGATGGGAAGAATGGTTTCCATACTGCTATATTCCACCAGATCCGATTTGTTCCCAACCAATATCAAAGGCAGCCTAGAACATACAAGACATAGTTAGAGGTAGTATAGAACTTGCTCCTTTTTTAATTCACTTCACAACCTATTCTACCTAGAAAAGATTTCTCCCCAGCTAGGACCTGCCCCTTTAGTCAGGTCAGTATGACGTCCCATCTACCTCCTCCACCCAATACCTTCCCCATCGGTTCCCGCCTCTAATCTTCTCTTTAGTTACAACAGACCATTCTCACTGCTCACTGCCTACGCACATTTTCCCCATCCTTCAAGCTGTCCAGTCCTTGCCTCCCTGCATGGAAGTCTTGCCCAACAAAAATATGGAAGAGAACAGGTCAAAACTGGTCAGAAGGAGTGGGGCCTATGATCTCAGCTAAGACAGGGAAATAGGTCCCATATCACTAGGCTCATGGATACTATAGAGTTTGTAAGTACCATAATTCTAGAAAAGTGCAGCCCAGAGTCTAAGGATTCATAACACCAGTAAGGGGAGCACTAATAAGCAAGGGTGGTTAACCTCTGAAACCAGAGCAAAGGTTGTAACCTGCCTTATTTTATACTGGCTACTGGCTATGCTGGTCCCAAGCCCAGAGATCTTAACTATACCCAGAAAGAGGCCATGCAACTATTCGGCAAACTCAGCCTTTAATACAAGGCCAGAGGGTCCAATATCACCAGGATGTCCTTATATTATTTCACCTCCCAACAAGGGTATCTTGACCCTTGTCTTTACTCCATAATAGATTTTTTACTCACATATTTTGTTGTTACATCACCTAATTCCCCAAGTATGTTTTCCCCTTCCCACAACCAGAGTCATCCCTTATAACAAATCATTTTTAAAAAGAAAAGAAAAAAAAAAGGAGAAATAAATTCAGCGAAACTGATCAACACTTTGAAAAAAATCTGACATTCATATGCAATGTTCCACACCCTGGACCCCCTCATCTCTGCAAAAAAGTGGGGTAAGTAGATGTCTTCTCTTGCTCTTCTTTGGGGTCAAGCTTGCTCTTAAGAATTTCTGAGGGGGCAGCTAGGTGGCACAGTGAACAGAGCACCAGCCCTGAGGTCAGGAAGACCTGAGTTCAAACGTGGCCTAAGACCAAACACTTGACACTTACTAGCTATGTGACCCTGGGCAAGTCACTTAACCCCAACCGCCTCAAAAAAAAAAAAAAAATTTCTCAGCATTGACTTTCAACCCTTTTGTGGTGGCTCTTTCCACTTACGTGTTGTAGTCACTGTGTATATTCTTCCCTTTCCTTAAAGCCTCAGCTTAGCTATGCTAGAAAGCTGGACTTTTCTCAGGTGCCAAACCTACATCTCCACATAAAAGATGTGGAGGTGATTCCCCATCTGCTCTGATTTGTAGAAAATGGTTATTCTACTTGACCTGATGTCATCACTGGAAGAAAAACAGCAGGTCAGCCTGGCTTTGGGAAGCAGGCCATTGTATGGAGCTAAAAAACTAGAGATTATAACAAGAGTTTTGGCAACACAAGGCAGTTGCTGCTGGAAAAGCTCTCTCTTCTTCCTACCAATCCTGCTACAACAGAAGGGCATGGTTTTGACACACACAGGAAGCTACTTGTAATATGTGAAGGAAGTCAATGTTTTGGGAAATATGGGATCTACCCTTGTGAAGATCTTTTGTGATTGCTAAGGGCCCGACTCTGGTAAATCAGGTTTCCAGGGACCATGTCTTTGCCTGTATTCCTTATGGAAAATGGTCTCCAAAGGTTTTCACTAATCAGTCTGTCTGTTCAGGGCTGCTTTAGAAGCAGTCAATACAGGACAGAAGGGTACTGATGTCCACAGAGAGGAAGTCACCAATGTAAAAAATGTCTACATGTTTGCCTAGGAGATGGCAGAGGTAGTGTTATGGAAGCTACATACATACACCTGGACAGACTTCGGGACATAGTGGAGGACAGAGGGGCCTGGTATGCTATGGTTCACGGGGTCACAGAGTTGGGCATGACTGAACAACAACAACAACTTGACTGTCTTGTACCTGTGTAAGCACATTTACATTGAGGGACAGCCATACCTTAGGGCAGGAATTATAGCAGAGGACACAAATTCTCGACAGAGTTGGCCAAGGAAGTCTTGAAGACTTAGCCTGGCTACTTAGCTAGGTAGTTGTTCCGGTAGGGTTTGAGGAGGAAGACAGATCACTGAAGGAATTTTGAGTGTATCAAGCAGCAAGCCTGAAGGCATCACGGGAAATCTTTTTAATAGTGAAAAAGGCTTTCTGGTAGTTAAATTTTAGAGAGGGGCAATCAGTTCAGAAGTGTTCAAACAGCTGGCAAACCTTGTCCACCCCTCCCGCAAAGGAGTAATCCTGCTTGGTAGTGACCATCTTCTTGGCCTCTCAGTCTACCCAGGATTATGCACAGGTGTCCATCCCAAATGAGGATAAAAACCATAACTGCTGTAGAAGGGACTGTCCTAGATCAAAGCAGAAAGCTGGACTTGGAACCAGGAAGACCTGGGTTCAAACGTGACCTCAAACACTTACTAGCTATGTGATCCGTAAGTCCTTTAATCTCTCTGGGCGTTGGTTTTTTCAACTGTAAAAAGGGGGAGCTGGACTCAACCTCCAAGGTCCCTCCCAGCTCTAAATCTATAATCCTGATACTCTCACCTCCTGGGAAACTGCCTGGACAGTTGAGTCACACTTTCAGTTCCAGCATTAGCCAACAGATGACAGCGAGTAGCTAAACAAAGCTTACGAAAGCCTAATAGAGCCAAGAGAAGGTTCCAAAAGGGAGATAATCTGCAAGCCCTAGTAAATAAACAGGGTCTCACAAAGTCTGCCGAAAAAGAAACATCATCTAATTGGAGTTGTAACTCCTGTGAGGCTGTGGTACAGGGTAGGAATGAAGTGCACCATGATGGTTAATAATCTGACCACCAACAGAACAAGTGTGCCTACATGATGGGGGAAGATCAATGATGAATTTTGGAGATAGTTCTTCCAAAGCCTCGGGGGAGATGAGATGGTCCATGGTTACAGCAATCTCTAAGAGTACTTGTTATTAATCAATCAACAAGCATTTCTATGCCAGGCAGGATGTCAAAGGATATTACAGGATGGAGGGCCAAATGATCTGGCACAAAATCTTCAAGATCTTCCACGAACCCAAATTCCCAGTTGTGATACTATCATGGTAGACCTAAATGGCTTAGAGTTTAAGTGACATGAGGGAAACAGACATCCTTTCTTTCACATAAATGGTAGCCCCTGGAAAAGTTAGAAGTTGGCTGTTCCGTCCCTGAAGACCCATCAGCAATAAAACAGAAAATAGGCCCTGTTTTAAGGTTTGTACAAAAAGGTGAACACCAAAAGAATAAGATGCCAGAAGGGGTATGGGTGCTGGGTCCTTAGAGATGGTCTTTTCTGCTCTGAGATATGGCGTTCACCTTGTTATTTTGAATGCTTGACTGGCAGGTCACCATAAAATTAAATCAAGCAAAAACATGAGCCTACCTGACCAGGTAGGGTTTGCAGTGTATCACAGCACAGAGGTATTCCAGGTTTCAAATGGTCCATGACAGGTATTCTGTGCCTAACAGAAGAGGCACAGCATGGTGTAATGGAAAGAACAAGGAACTTGGAATCCTAAGACCTGGGTATAAATTCTGGTTCTAGCACTATCTATGTGACTATCTCTCTCTGAACTTCAGCTTTTTAATTGTAAAACAGGAATAATAATACTAGTACCATCTGCATCACAGGGCTATTTGCTTAACAGAAGTACTTTACAAATCTTAAAATGTTATATAAATGTAAATTTAAGACTATGATTCCTATTAACAGGTGCCTCAAATCTTCAAGGGCACTCCTAATAGTAGCACTAACAATAGCTGACATTTATACAACACTTTAAGGTTCTTATCTCACGGCGGTTCCTTCTCCATGGCAGTCAAGGGTATAAGTGGTCAAATGAGAGAACTCCTGGGCAGGATGGATGTGTTTTAAAGCAGGATAGTGTTGAGGGCTGGACTGGAGGCACGTACCTCCAAGATAACTGAGTACAATGGTCAGAGTGAACCAAGAGAGAAGTGAATGCCACCTGGAGTTGGATGAAGACAGTTCAAATGGCTAGAGTCTACTGCAAATAGACAACTTTCTTCAATAAATAAGGATACCTCAATTACGGGGAAAATTGCTCATAAAGCACCAGCAGGAGTTGTCAAAGCAACCTGCATAATTTCACTTTTGTTCTTGCCAGTTTCTACCTCCAATACTACCTAGCATACTCCCAAGCACATTGTTAACAATGCTTTAAAAAGATGTCTAGTAACAGTATAACTAAAAACTATACAAGTGTGAGACAAAATAAAAAATACTCTATTTTCAAAATGTCTACCTTTGGTCTAAAAAATTATTTTCCACTTTTCTTCCTAATCACGGAGACTACTGCAGGGACTGAAAAGCCAAAGGTTACAGGAGCAGGCACCTTATTGCAACAGAGTGAGGACCACGTCAAACTGTGAGAGCCCCCCCCACCCCGGCTTTTTTAAAATAGACAAATTGAAATCCTTCAGGAACATGGTAGAGAGAATTCTTACTCAGATATGGCTAGACCAGATGGCCTTCAAACTCTGAGATTCTGGGATTCTCTTGTGGAGGAAGCAAACAGCTTTTACAGCTTTTCCTACAGACAAGCCCCGGGTCCTTTTATTCTAGCACTGATGAACAGACAGACAGACTGACACCAACACACACACCCACACCCCCACACACACACACACACCCACGTACTCCAAGCTGAAGGCCAATATGGCAGTCACACAAGCCATGTAGTAGAAAACACACAAGCTTCCTTTCTTCTAATATATCCTGTAAGTTTCTGCACTTAGGCAGTGGGATGTATATTTCTAAACGAAAGGGCACACTGGAGAGAACATCAAGAGAAGACAGGCTATAGGGGGTCCCCTCAGCAAGTGATTGCTAGTATAGGGGAAAAGGAAAGTCACCAAAGAAAATAAGTTGCTGACAGGGATTCTAGGATCCTATGAAAACGACAGTGGAGATAAGGAATGTAAAGCCAGGAAATTTTTAGGAAAATGTAAGCTGGAAGCTGACTGACTTCAGAGTGGGGCTAGTTTATGGTGCCCAGAGGTTATACAAGCTAGAAGAAGGATCATCTCGGGGCTGGCAAGCCTAGGGATAAGGAGCAGGGCAGGGGGAGGGTGTCTCCGCTGCCTTTCTCTTCAGTGTCAAAGAGGAAGGTCTCAGGATTTCCTTAGCCCTCATAAAAATGAGCAACTCAATCATGATCAGGGTGTATATATATGGATATGTGTATGTATGTACATATATTCATTCTCTCTTTCCCCCCTTCCCTCTTTCTTTCTCTCTCTCTCCTCTTCCCCTCTCCCCCAACCCCTTTCATCACAGGGAAGGTAAAATAAGACATATCGGGGGCCTAGAGCTATATGAGGCAAGATTCCAATGTCCTGCCTGACTAAAGGAAAAACAAAGGGCTTAGTAGATGTTCTCACTTAGTCTCCAAATGGTGTTTCCAAGATCCCTCTACTTCCATTTACTCTATTAGTCCTCCCACTGCATCCAGATTAGAGATGCCTCCAAGGGAACTGATCTTTACAGGTATGCTCCAGTCACCACCCAAGGTCAATGTACATACAGCTGACAACAAACGCTTGTAACTTCAGTGACAGAGCTGTTTAGATAAAGTCATTTTTCATGGCTTAGCTGAGTCCCTTGCACAAAAGCTTAGTCCCTTCAACCTACTTGGCACTGGTGCTACAGAAGAACTCCAAGTGCCCTGGGGCTACAGAATGCTTCCTTCAACACAGGATCTGCAGACTTCCCTGTGTGGGCAGATCATGCCTCCCTCTCAAAGGTGCAAGAGAGAAAGTTCACTTAATCTGGAGGAATCCTATTCAAAGCAGCTCTGTACAAAGGTTTAGGATAAGGCCCATTCAACTTTTTGGATGGTTAGGGAAGTTGGCAGGTTGGGAAAAGCAAGAAGACATTACACAATGACTCTACTGAAATGGTCCAAACCTTTTCAGTAAGGGAACAGCCAAGGAAACAAGCCTGAGGTCTGGAGCATAGAAGCAAGTAGCTGGCATGCCAGTGGAACACACATCTGACCCCTCAGAGTAATACATTCTCATAAAGGTGCACACTAGTTAAGCAGGCTCATGGTGTCCTGGTCAGGACCTACAGAAAGGGTTCTAGTATACTTCATAATAAGATGCAGGCAGCAATGAGAGTGCTGACCAGAAGAATACAGAATCAGGAGTCTGTCTAGCTAAGCAGCACAGGATTAGCAGGAACCAAAATCTTTAGGAAACAAAGGGTCAAACTGGAGGAAGTCATCTCAACCAGGAAGAAGCGAGCAGACAGTTACCGCTGGTCCAGCTAGGATCCAGCCCGGAAGTCAGTGAGGGAATAGGGGTTGGCCTCTGGTTCCAGGGTACAGGACATCCTCTCTGCTTTGTTTTATGTGCTTCCCTGGACCTCCAGGGAAGAATTGCAGCCATAAACAGGTCACAACTGCTGTTAAATGCTGCTTCTAACTGGAGAAAAGAGAAGGTGCTACAATAACCAGAAGTCCTTATGAGTGCCCACATCCTTTCCCTTGGCTCCCAGGGGACTTATTACCATTTTATTATAAATTGTCTTAGTGATTCTACTCACCATGCCTGTAATATTCCAAAATAAGACATTCCTCCCTGGCTCCCTTATAGGAGCCATCTCCTTCTTTCAGAACCTAAGCTATGGAAGGACAGGGATTGTTTATACTTTTGTCTTTTGATACCCAGCACAATGCCTGGAACAAAGGAGTCATTTAATACATGCTTTTTCAGTCATTCATTCACTTAATCAGTTTAATCAATCGATAAGCATTTACTAAACCAGTAGTTCTTAACCTAGCATCCAAGTAACCCCAAGGGAATCTGCAAATATTGGGTTTTTTTTTGGGGGGGGAGTTTGAACTTGGATAAGAAAAATATTTTGATAACTGCATTTCAATATAATCGGTTTTCTTTGTAATCTCTTGTACTTTATTTTGTGCACACAGATAACTTTATTCCAAGAAGGGGTCCACAGGCTTTACTAGACTGCCCAAGGGTACGTGAAGAACACTAGTATTTCACTCCTACTATGTGCCAAGCACTGTGCTAAGTACTATGAATACAAAAACCTAGTTTTCTAGGTTTCTCAAGCAGTTTACATTCTAATGGGGAAGATAACACCTGCATATATACGTAAGTTCACACATAATATATACAAGATGATTACAAGGTAATTTTGGAAGGGGTATACTAGAAGATGGGAAGACTGGGAAACACTTCACATTGAAGGTATTATTTGAGCTGTGGGCTTAAAAAACCAGTAACAGAGGAGCTACTAGGTGGCACAGTGGAAAGAGCACCAGCCTTGGAGTCAGAAGGACCTGAGTTCAAATCTGGCCTCAGACACTTGACACTTACTAGCTATGTGACCCTGGGCAAGTCACTTAACCCCAAATGCCTCACCAAAAAGCAAAAAAACAAAAATCAAAAAACCAACAACCAATAACAGAGATTCCAAGAAGCACAGTTCAGAAGGGAGTGCCTTCTAAACATGGGGAACAGCCAGCACAAGACAGAGAGATGGGAGATGAAGTCTCCTTCACGAAGAACAGTTAGTAAGCCACTGTCGCTGGACCACGGAGTGCAAAGAGGGGAATTAATGTAAAAGAAGACTGGAAAGGATGGAAGCGGCCATATTGTGCAGAGATTTAAAGCCCAAGCAGAGTGTGTATTTGATTCTAAGAGGTAATAAGAAGCCACAGGAGTAGGATCCTGGGATTAGACCTGGACTTTAGGAAAATCACTGGAGCTGCTGTGGAGAGAATGCTTTGGAGTAGAGAGAGGCTTGAGATAGGAAATCAACACAGGATACTATTACAAGACTCTAGATGGAAGGTGATAAGGATCTGAATGAGGCCAACAGCTGTGTGAGTAAAGAGAAGCTGAGGAGATACAAAAGATGTGGAATAGAAATAGGAATAACAAGGCTTGGTAACTACTTGGATATGCGAATTATCCAACAGGCAGTTAATAACGATGGAATGGAGTTCAGAAGAGAAATGTGGGTTAGATATGTAGATCTAGAAGTCATTAGCATAGGGACAGCAACTGAACCTATGCTCACCTAAAGAACATCAAAAGAGAACACAGAATGAAAGGAGGGCCCAGGACAGAGTTTGGGGTATACACACAATTAGTGGGAATAACATAGATGATGTCTCTTTGTCTCAAGTTCCAATGCTTTGCCCATCCAACTATAGCACAAGCTCCCTGTGGAGCTATCCTTCTAATTTTTACAGCCATAATAATCAACCCACAAATCAAATATGTAATGAGCACTTGCTACATGCTAGGTGCGTGAAAGGAACTCCACAAATGCTTGCTGAATGATTTACGTGAGCATCAATCCTTGAAAAGATTTAAAAGGTTCAGAAAGTACTATTTTGGCCCATCAAAATAGCCCTGCCATGAAAAGTTATTTTACTGAGTCAATTTTAGGCTAAAACTCAAGATATTTTCACCTAGGGGGGTGATTTCACTGGTGTAGGGACTTCTTCTGTCAATGCTAATCAATGTAGCTGCCAGGGGCCTTCATGGAGAGGTTAAGTGACTTGTCTGTGACTGCACAGCTGGTGTGTACCAGACACAGAACTCGCACTTGGGTCTCCCTCAGCCACCTACAAGCCCTTTTGTCTCTATGAATGCACAATTAGCATCCTGCTTTGGGCAAAAAACTGGGTACAAGTCTTCCTATTCCTTTATCCCCCCGACCCCACAACAAAGACAGGCTGACTCCCACACAAAATCTTTCATGACCAGAAGTCCTTATTCAGGGACATTTGGTGACTGTGCAGCAGAGCGCTCTTTGTCCACAGCACAGACACACGCACACACGCACACACATACACACACACACACACACACACATGGTCACACAGTACTCGTGCTGAGGCCACTGTGTCTGCACTGACCACAACAGCCAGGAGGGCTCGTGGCATGAGCCGCATGGAAGAGGCCCCATGCTGGGCTGGGACATGACTCTGCCACAGATTTCTGTATACAAGGGCACTAATCACTAGCAGTCAATCTCTCCTGCCTGCTTTCCTTTCGATAATTACCTGCTGTCTTTGTCTGTTCGTTCATTGATAAGAGGAATCCACCGGCTTGTTACCTAAAACAGAAGTTTAAATTATTCAGGATAACGAAATACGATGGAGATGATTATGATGACCAGAATTAGTACTGCTATCCTGCTCAAAGGTTTGAAGAGCACTTTCCATATATGATGGTATAAGCACCTGAATACAGAAGAAGGGGGGCATCTCTGCAGCTCCATAAATGCCATTTCAATAAAGATAAATGATGTACAATAATAACAGCTAACATTTACATAGGGCTTTAAAGTTTGCAAAGTACTCGATATCTATCATTTCATTTAATATTACTTAATTTTCACAACAATCTTTGTAATGTAGATGCTTTAATTAATCTCATTTTACAGATAAGAAAACTAAGGCAAAGAGAGGTTAAGTAACTTGCTCAGGGTCACATAATTGTATCTGAGACAGGATTCAAACTCAGACTTTCCTGATCCCAAGTCCAAGACCTTTTCTCACTGTGACACCAATATTCTTTGTCTAAATTATGGGGTGGAAGAGCACACAGCAGGAGAGGTGGTAGCAACATCTGAACCCTTATTGGGGCCATTAGTGGTGAAATGTACACTAGCCAAGTAAGAGTGTGGTAGAAACATTAAAATAAACAATTAGTTCCATGGACTCTAAACCCCTGAAAATGTGATTCCTGTCTAGAAATATATTAAACAATGCAGTGCAATCTGCCAGTAATAATACACATACTAAAGCATCCTAGCTCCCATCCCTCAACTTTCCTTTATTCTAGTCAAAGGATTCATGGAATAGAAGGGGCAAATTCCATCAATGAGGTCTCTAACATTGTAATTTAGGGTTTGTGAATGAAAGTACTACTTAAATCAAATCCAGGCCACAGCACGGTGTCCACGAAAAACTTCACACACACATACCTTATCAATGGAATGCTTGTTGTTAACAGCATAGACTATGCAGATAACATTTGCCTAGGAGAAAAATGAATACATTAGTAATCTCCTTTAAATTAAAACAAAAATGTAAACAGCAATAGCTCTATACCCTAATGTAATGGGGCTAAGGAAGAGAAGAATAAAAATCCAGCTTCAAAAAGAGGTAGAAACCTTAGGTGCATACTGATCTGAGGGTATGATGAAGTTCTTAAAGGCTCAGTTAAATAGATTTCTAATTATCCCATATTAAAGCCAGCTATCACAATGGAGTACTGAGGGGAAAAGCTGGGGAACAGAAGACCAAGGTGAGGAAGACAGGACCACTGACCCAAGTCATTACTTGCCCTCCCCACAAACACACACGCAGATTCCAACACAACTGTGTCTCACTGCACCCCGACCTACCTGGGAGATCTCATGATGAAGCTGTTCATCACTTTGTTCTGCTTCTACAAGTGACAGAGATGTTAACTTCCATGGAAAAAAATGACTGGCGAATAATTTATTCTTTTTCATTAGCACTACCGAGCGCACCAAACTGCACGATCCCAGTTCAGGGGTGGGGAACCTGCAGCCTCAAGGCCACATGTGTGTGGCCGTGTAGGTCCTTGGGTGCGGCCTTTTGACCACGTCCAAGTTTTATAAAACAAATCATTTTATTAAGGGGGTCTGTTTTGTGAAGTTTGGATTCAAAGGGCCACACCTGAAGACCTAGAGGGCCATGGGTGGCCTTGAGGCCACAGGTTCCCCACCCCTGTCCTAGTTCATTATTACATGGGATTAGGTTAGGAAATGAACAGGACAAGGAAGGCCAGGGGAAGCCAGGGCAGTGAATTCGCTCAGACAGATGGGTTAGCAAATATTATTAAACAGAGGGATAATGTGTCAAGTTCAAGGGAGGCAGCAAAGGTAGGAAGGGGCAAGTAGATACGATAGCTTTAAATAAACAAGTGTCCAAAGTACAAGAAATAATTAAGGAAAGCAAGAGCAGGTAGATACTATGGGGCTAAATGAGCATGAAATCCAGAGTCCAGAAAAGACAGGCCACAGAAGTCAGGAAGCCAAGGTAAGAAACAAGCAGTCTGGAGCCAGATGGTGGACTCGTCAGGAGGCAAGGTCAAAGAACTTGAACAACAAAAGGTCAGGATCTAAAACATGAGTCTAAACCACAGGCACAGGGAACCAGAAGTAAGAATGGAGCCCCATAGTGACCCAAAGGTTCCAAGCAACAAGGTGTCCCCTCCCACGTCCTCCCTGGGGTCACAACTGGTGTCCAAAACCACTTGTTGGAGATGCTTCCCAGAGGCTGCAATCTACAACCTCTGAAGTCCATCCCAACTCTGGATTCTAGGAGTGTAGGCAGATGGAGCCTGCACGTGGCAGTAAATAAGTAAACCTACATTCTTCATACTTGGATATGGGACGGTCATAGGTCAAACTATTGTCCCACCAGACAGTAAAAAGAATAAGAAAAAGCCACTGGGCTACAAAAGAGTATTTCCTCTGCCCAATACCAGTACTACAAAAGGGCTCCACCGCATTTTAAATATTCTACTCAACACTATTATTAGAAAGTTCCCTTTTTCCCCCTAATCTGGACCTTTGATTTCATCAGTGTGGTAGATTCGTGGTCCAGAAACTCCCTCCACTGATGCAGATTGGCCATTCACCTACACCTTAGTATTAGTGAGGTGCTCGAGACGCAGAAAGAATAAGTGACTTGACCATGGTCACCCAGGTAGCAGGTCTTCAACTCAGAGCTTCTCAGCTCCCCAGGGCAGCCCTCTATCCAAGACACCCTGCCTCTTAAATTTTACATACTGAGTTAATCCTATGTTGAACTTTCGATTAGTGCCACAGACCACTAGAAGAGCTACAAGATCCTTAGAGTGACAAGAGACCTTAGAGACCACAGGCCTGTCCTTTCATTTCATATCCTTTCCAGAAGACCAGAGAGGGAACAAATATAACTCTAAGATTCCAAATACTAAGATAATGGATTTTAGAGTTGGAATGGACCTTTGGATTTATCTAGTCCAAACCTTTCATATTAAAGAGAAAGAAACCCAAGCCCAGGTGGATTAACTTGCCCAAGATCATACAGAGAGTAGGAAGTAGACCCAAGATTTAAACCCAGCTATCCTACTCCAAATCCAGTTGTTCATTCCTCATAAACATAATGAAGTCAAAATAACTTTAATTAACTTTATCTTTAGGATAGTGGCTGCAAGACTGGTCACACAGAAAAACTGATCACATCAACCACCTCGTCGGGACTGTTAAAGGCCACCCGATTTCAATGTTCTAGGGAATATTTTCCTCTACTGTCAATCCACTCAAATCCTTACCATTCCTCTACTGGAAGGGAAAAAAAAAAAAAAAAAAGAGTTCCAGAGACACAAAACTGCCACATAAAATAAAGACGTTAATAAGACTTTAGGTAAATGAATTTAAGAAGTTTTAACCATGGTATTGGTATTCCTAATGCAGTCATAGGAATAGTTTTTAAGCATGGAAATCAGCACAAAGGCAAATGGCAAAATGACTAAAAGGGAGCAGTGATATACACAAAATTTCAAAATTTCAGGTAAAAATGCAAATATGTGATTTTAAGTTGGTGCAAATGATACAATATCAATTGGGAAGCAGGTTAACAAAGTAATGAATTTTGAATCAAGGCTCAAATTTGGTCCTTTTCCTAATCAGTGGCAATTCATCACATACAATACCAGAAAGTGTGACAAACTTTGGACTTTATTTTGTAAACACTCTAAATCTACTCAGGCAAAGTCTTAATCTGAATTTCACCTCAGCACTTACTTATTGTCCTTCAAGCTGACAAATGGAGGAGATCAAAGGAGCATCTGTTTCTAAAAGGCAGGGAGCCTGCACAGGGCCTACAATAGCACCCCCTTAATTAGTTGCTCAGTTAGTAGTATACAGAAGAAAACCACAAAGTTTTACTGACAGCACATCCATTACCTGAGTAATCGACTATGTGTGTTGGAACTCTCTCAGGTGTAACATCAGCTGGAATGGTGATCTCTTCTGCCCGTGGAGGGACCTTAGTTTGCAAACAAACATTGAAAAAAGAAAACATTCAGAGAAAAATAATCAAAGCCTATTCATAAATGCTGGCATCTGTTAGCCTGTTTCACAGGTATTCCAACAGGCAACATCACAAATGTATTTTCAAAGAACCAGTGACTCACCGAATGAGAGCTGGAAGGGACCCCAGTCCCGGAGCCATCAATGCCACGCCCCTCTTTTTACACAAGTAAGAGACCTGCCCAGGGTCAATTCTTATCTCCAGGTTTCACCAGAGATGCAAATCTACCTAAGATGCACTTATCAAAATGTGTTTTTTATAAAGATTACATTTTTATTTATGATATGTATATATAATAAGAATACTTCTTATGATGCTATTTGTGAACATGGCCTAATATGAGAACAGTAAAGATTCAGCATTTTCAAAGCTCTTCATCTTATTATACATACAAAGGGTTGGGTGATGTGAGGAATCCCCAAAATGAACTGCAGATAGGCCTACATACTCTCAAACCACATTATCTGCACAAAGATTCAGTATGTTTGTGTACTCAAGAGTAAGTCCATCAATTCAGCTTAAAAAATATGTAAACCTTTGATTTTTTACTTTCCAATGATAAAGGCCCTCATATATCACTTTTAATGACTAAGCCCCAAATGTGAACACAGTCTCGCTAGGTTAAATTACCTCAAAAGACGTTCACATACTAGATATGACTATCAGTGTGACTGCTTCTGAGAGAAACATGAAAATGTGGCTCATGACTCAGCAGTCACACCTCATATGACTTTTGGTATTACAAAAAGCAACAAAGTAAAACTCAGACTTTAAAATAAAGTGCACATGTTACAGCAGGTGTAACAGGGGCTGAGGCTGAAATTCGGGGTGACTTCTAGGGGGCTTGTAGGGGAACCAAAGAGAGACTGCAGAACCACCCTCCCAGCCAGCTTCCCCTACTTCCCCAAACCACACAAGGTTTTGGCTAGAGGTACTAGGGACAAGAGACTAAATTTAAACAACTCCACATTATTGCCCTCTTCACATGACGTAGAGGCAACACTGGATTTTCAAAAGAAACACTCAGGTCCACCAATGAGTTGTATTGTGTGTCTATCATGAAAGGACCAACACAAAGTTGGGTGAGGCACACCACCAATCAACTGGCTATCAAATGATGAAATTTTAGACCACAGCAATTCATGAAGGCCATCTACTAAGATGTGGAGAGGTTGAGATCTATGTCAATAAAAGGAGTATCCATAATGATTAAGTCATAGACTTTCTAGAAAAAAAATACACAAATCATTATTAACACCATTACCTCCTACATTTGTTTTGATACTTAAAATCTTCTAACATTTCTATAGACATTATTTTATCTGATCCTTACAATAACCCACGAGATAGGCAAGACAGGTATTAATACCCTCATTTGACAAATAGAAAAAATGAAGCTTAGAGGATGTTAAGTGGTCTACTCAAAACCTTACAGCCAGTAACAAGGGGTATACTAAAAGTTATAATACTTCAAATATGATAATCTATGGGTTAACATCACCCTTAAAAAATTATACAGCTCAAAATAAACCCAAGCCAAAAAAAAAATTCAATATATTCATTTCATTTTATCTCAACTTGGACAAAACCTGAGCAATGTTTAATCTCTGTGGAAATATGATATTAAAGGAAAAATCAGGATGGTTTACCTCTTCTGGGAATTCTTCACTAACCAGAGACATGATCAGTGATGTCTTCCCAACTCTGGCTGTGAAAAGAAAAAAATCCTTATGTGAATAGAGCATTTAAGTGCTACATGGAAATAACACTTTGAGAGAGAGAGAGAGAGGGAGGAGAGAAAGAGAGAGAGAGGTCTATTAATTCTACAGAATTCTATAGAACTCACCCCAAGAGTCTGGAAATTCTTCTATTTACCACAACCTCCCCTCCTTCTACCTCTCCTCTTCCCTTATTCCCCTCATGCCTGTTCTTTATCCTCTTCATGATCTATGGTCCTTTAATTTCTCCTTATCCTTCCAGTCTGTATTTACCTTGCTCTGATTTCACTTCCCTTCCTACCTCATCTTGACTCAATATGTCAGTCATACCAATAATGCTATTCCTTTCACCCCTTGCTGCCTTGACTCTGCTGGCCTTTCTAGATTGTGCAGAGCAAAGCTGTTCCATCGAGGCAAAGAGACCATCTACTTTCTCTGCTCCAACTCTAGAGCCACTAAACATTTTGGTAGGAAACAAATCATACTGAACGGGTCCACAAACTTACTGATATAAACAGGGTCTTCTAACATACGACCATGCTAATATTTCTTAATTATATTACATTACCTGAAAATGCTCTTCCAAATCTCCTCAAACTCAAACTCTCCTTCTGCTCCCCTCATCCTTGGCAGATAGACAGTCCTGCCCCATACAATCTCAAGTCTCTGCCCCATTCCCCTAGTGCTCTCAATGTCCTCATCTGGCCTTAGGTCTTTCTCTTCATTCACCCTCCTTCTTACCATCAGTCCTTCTGTCTATACCCCTGTCATCTTATCACCTCTGGTTTGAGTTCAAATACTAGCTCCGCCTCTTTGACAAGACACTTCATATCTGAGGCCTCAGTTTCCTTCTGTGTAAAATGAGGGGTTGAACTAGACGATTTCTAAGGTAACCAGTCTCCTTGCTTTAAGTCTCTTCCCATTCCAATCCATCTTCTACTCAGCCATCAAAGTGATTTTCCTGAAGTGCAGGCCTAACCACATCAGCCCCTAAACAATAAACTCCAGTGACTCCCTATTTTCTCCAGAATCAAATAGAAAATCCTCTGTTTGCCACTTACAGCCCTTCCCTACCTACCTTTCTAGTCTTCTTACACCTATTTCCCACCACAGGTACATACGATCCAGCTACACTGGGCAACCTGCTGTGTCACACATGACACTCCTGACTATTCATTTGTACAGGCTGTCCTCAGGCCTGGAATTCTCTCCCTTCTCACCTCCTTCACCTCTACAATCTTGAAGACTCCAAGATTCAGCTCAAATTTCACCTTCTGCAAGAGGCTTTTCCAGTCCCTGTCTGGTAGCCAAGGGCTTCCATTTTACATCAGAACATGACGGACTGACCTTGTGATTCCATCTGTGTCTTCTCCACTACTTTGCTCCATTAAATACTTCATCGAGCACATGTCTCTTCATTGCTTCTTTCTACTGGCTCATTCTTTCCAACCTACTCAAGTCCCCCTTTTCTTTGAAAAACAAAACAAAAACACCTTTCCCTTGACTTCGCCATCCTGGCAATTATCATCCCCCCTCTTCACTTACTGCCTCACTTCGAGAAAACGATGCACACTTGCTACCTGCACTTGCTGCCTCCGACTCCTCACCACCCCTTTACTACTGACTTCCCTAACACGGAATTCAATGGCTTCATCTTCCTTAACTTCTCTTCAGCATCAGACACTGTACTTCTTAGTCCCTCCTTCTCTCTCCTCCCTTGACCTCTATGCCCCAGTACCCTCAGGGCTCAGCAACTGGGGAGTCTCTTTCTGTCCGTTTGGCTGGCCCTTCTTCCTCCTCCTTGCTCCACACGTCCCCCAGGGTTCGATCTTTAGCCCCCTTCTTTTTTCACTCCAGTCTCCATGATTTCATTTTCTCACGGCTTCAACTGTTAAACAGTTCCATCTCTGCCTACAACCTCTCATCTGAGCTTCAGCTCCATTATCTTTCACCAGCTGCTATGTACCTCTACAACAATATTCCTCTGGCACATCCAAAACTAAATTCCTCTGCTTCCCCCCAAAATCTTCCCTCCTCTCAGTCATCCAGGCTAATAACTTCGCAATTGTCTCTGTGTTCCATAGGATCAAAGAACTAGGGCTGGAAAGTGAGTTAGGAGGCATTTATCTAATCTACTCCCTCATTTTACAGATAAGGAAACTGAGGCCCAGAGAGGTTAAATGAACTGTCCAGCTTGTAAATCAGGAATTGAATGCTTTTCCTGGTACTCAGTGGCCTCCCAGTCTCAGCTGACCTGATCTGTGGAATCTCTAGAATTAGTCCTCTATTATCCATCCCCACAGTCATCACAGTCCTCCTTAAGGCCTTATCTCTTCTCACTTAAACTATTTTAATAGCTTCCTAATTCAATCTTACTACTTCCAGGAAAAGAAAAGCTTTATAAATCATCTATCACACTGCTCAGCAGATTACTACTCTGATCACATCACTTCTCTACTCAAAATTCTTCAGTGACTCCCTACTACCTTCCAAAGAAAGTATCACCTCCTGACCCTGGCATTCAAGGCCTTCTATTCTCATCCCAGTATAGTTTTCCAGCCTTAACGAGTATCACTCCCATTCATGTATACTGCATTCCAACCAAACTGGATTATTCTGCATCCTCATTCTTTACCTATTGCTTCTACCATCTTGTTCACTATGACTCCCTTCCAATTTCTATCTGTGGAGGTCCCTCCCTTCCTTCAAGGGCCAACAGAGATTTCACTCTCTCCATGATGTCATTCTAACCCTACTTCCAACCTCCACATGAAAGTGATCTCTCCCTCCTCAAATTTCTCATTGCCCTTTGCCCAGACTTCTCTGTTGCACTTCTCAGAGTATCCTTTGTATCCTAGTTATTTGCATGCCTGTTTTTCTCTCCCCTGACTATAAACCTTCTTGAAAACAGAGCCTAGTCACATCCACCTATTTTTACTCCAGTCCCTTAAACTGAGGATGCATGGAATACATGCTGGTTTACAAGGAAGAAAAAAAGAATCAAAATTACCACTGTAATCTAAAGTACACTTTTAAGACTTAAGAGTAACTGGGCATTTTTTTTTTAATTAGGGGACAAAGGAAGAGCTGGGAGTTCAATTTAATTCAACATTTATGAAGCACCTAAGTTTTCAGAGCACTGTGTTAGGCTCTAAGATAGATAAGAAAGAGATTAGGTACACAGGTACCAGGCAGTCTGCTAAATACAAGTCCCGTTTACAAATAACTAGAGTAGTGCAAATGTTATCCGATGAATAAAAGATCGCTTCTGACTAGTATAATTAATCAGGGAAAGCTTCAAGGAAGAAGAGAACTCCTAATTTGAAAAAAAAATTCTCAATAATTTTCAAAACTCTTTATTCTGGAAATTAAAAAGAAAACCTCATACAAGTCAGAACCTCATTTTAAAATTTATGGTACTGTACCCTTAGTTTTCTGAGCACATAACTGCTATAGCTAAATATGAGATTCATTATGAAGGAACTTCATGCAGAAGAGCTGAGGAATGCAGCAATGAGCACACTCGGTTTTCTCTGTATGACCGTGAGCAGTACCCCACCATTAGAATGTAAGCCCTTGGAAGGCAAAGGCTGTTTCATTTTTGTCACTGCATGCCCAGCACAGAGTCATTCAGAGAGAAGATGCTCAACGTCTGTTGGCTGAATCAATGTTACTCAAGATCTGTAATTTCACTAAGGGGAACTCCCTCCACAGGGGCAGATCTCTACCTGGTTAGTAACTTTACTCTTAGAGCTCCTAGGACCTTTTTTGAGGAAGCAAAAACTAGAAACAAAGAAAACATACATCTCCTAGAGAATGGTTAAACAACCATGGAATTAAAATAGAATGGAATGGCAAAAAAGATTTCAGAGGAGAATGGGAAGACTTTTATGACATGATGCAAAGAGAAGTAAGCAAAACCAGGAAAACAAAATCACAGAACACAATGACAACAATGTAAATGGAAGAAACAAAAAAAAAAAAAGGAAATTGAATGTTGGATAATTTTAATGACTAAACTTGGTCCCAGAAGAGAGAAAATTCACCTCCATCTCTTCCTGGGAGGAAGAAGACCACGAGTGTGCATGTACTGTTAGGTACAAGTTGATTAAGGTTGGTTTTAATGAATTGTTATTTTTTCCCTTCTCTTAAAATATTTATTACAAGTGATAATTTTCAGGGTAATGGGAAAGGATAGAAGGGAATGGAAATGAAGGTGATGTCAAAATAAGATTTTTACAAGTTGCTGGGGCCCCCTTCGTAGAGATGGGAAGTCCACAGCTGTTGTACATGTTGCACAACTTTTTCAGATTTAAAATTATAATGATGTAAAAACAAAAGATATCAATAAAAACTTATTTCTAAAAAAAAGTTGTTGGGGCATTATAAGGTTGAAACTTGCCCATGGTCACACAGCTAATATTTGTCAGAGGCAGTGTTTGATCTCAGGCTTCCCTGACTCATTCTTTTTTTCTCTTATTCTGGGTAAGTGACTAGAAAGGATTTTTCAGTTTCCACACAAAGATGTGCCATGCAATAGCCAGGAGCCAGGAACTTCCATCAATGGATCAGCTGCAGCCCTAAGTTCCATTTCCTCTGGCCACAGCTCCACCACAACTCAAGAGAAGACCTCTTAGGAGTGCTCTAAAAAGCCTGAAGCTCTAATGTTTGGGGGGGAAAAAAAACCCAATTCAATACTTCTCAATAGTGGCTAATTAATGAAGAGATAATAAGTACTTCAAATAATAAATAACAATCTGATTCCTACTGCCTAACTAAATGAAAGAGTTTTATTTAAAAAAAAAAGAAAAAAGAAAGAAACTACAGACCCTGTAACTGTTTTTTTCTCCCTATCTTCCCTCCCTTCCTCTTCTCACCCTTCTCCTGTTTGGGCCCTTGCTCACTGAGCACCTTTTGGTTTTCACAGCACTTGAGATGCTGTGCAATCAGACCACTCACTCAAAAACAAAGTGCCTATGGGATGC